AACGAGCATTAAACCGGATGTTGGCGTTCAGGTTGACCTAGTCAGAGAAGTATCAGAACGTGGTGACCTATTTGATTAGGGTTATCCTTATTTTTTGTCTCACTCTGCAAACAGGTTGTCCATTTTTCAGCACGACAATGCTAATCCCTAAATAGAATCAATTTGTTCTGATACCCAGAACGTAAATGTAAAGCCGTGGCCACAAAGGTCACGGGATCTCAATCCAGTGAGCATCTGTGACATGTTCGAGGTCCAACCAAGGCCACAGGAATATATTCGGCAGTTCTTGGAGAATAACGGTGTGGCTTTGTCTCGGAATCATTCGCAGACTTCCTGGTTCTGCCATACTTAAAATTTTGACCGGCACATCCTAATATTTCTCCCTTTACTTTCGATGAATGCTCTTTCACACACCTCACACCTCGCCCTGATCAAACCTTGTAAATGCCTTTGCATAGGTGTCATACACCTTTCATATCTGGGGGAGTATACATGATGTATAGAAAATCATGTGAATTTATCACAAAAAGAACCTTAACTAGATATCACTTTACAATGTGTAAATAATGTTATGGGAGTCATCACTCTCACACTGTCCATCACAAGTTGACCTCATCTTGTGCTGCTGATGCCATAGTGACAAAGTTTTGGCGCCGCGATGGGGACTCATATCACGGGTTTCCTGTTTATTTTATTTTATAAACTATTTTTGCATCACACGGGACACAAACCTAACAATGCTTGTAACTGTTTCGTAAAACACCGGTTTATATTTCGAAACAGATGGTGTTTTTAAAAAATTACATGATTCAACTTTCTATACTTCGCTTCAATCTTATCCTGCTATGGACATCTGTTAGAGAAAGAGTACACAATCGGGCAAAGATGAAGTCCTTCCCTCCTCCTGTAAGTCCCCATGGTCCCTAGTATGGTGATCTACCTTCAGCTGATCTATAGCCTGTTTTTATATTGTATTGTCCTCTATAGTATTTTAGATTTAATTACTAGTTTTAATTATATATATCTGTGATAGTCTAGTTGGTTTTACTGTCCTTTGTCGACAGATATTTTAAATTGATTACATTGTTTTCATCGCTATATGGCTGTAATATTGCCGATGGGATGTAAAATTTTAACACACTCACTCACTCCCTCCTCCTTGTCATCTGAGAGGCGTTGCAAGTCACGACATCAAGATCAGTTGCCCCAGTGACGTCAATGTGAATCATAGACCCCTGAAGCCTTCAAATCAACAAGGCTAACCAGTTTTATCAGATCTAGGCTCGGGGTTATCATTAAACATCACGATCAACAATTAAATTCCCGTCCCTATGGTGAGTATGCTAAAGAACAGACCAAAGTAAGTAAGTGAGTGAGTGAATATTTAGCTTCTCGGGGATAGCCTAAAGCAGCCCGGAAGGCGAACACAGTTCGGGTGATCAGGGTCGTTGACTTAATTGACTGCATCTAACTGTTCAGGATCGATGGTCGTGATTGTTTACTAATATTGTGAGGCCCTAACAACAAACAAGAATGCACCCCTCCTTTGAGGAGTGTTATAGTATGGGTGTTTTACTGATTGGTCTTAAATGTAAGTCTCTGGTCTAACACAATGCAAGAGGTATCACCTTCAAGAAAAAACAGGATGGGTATTTTGTCTGTAAGGCGATGCAGATGTGCTTCTGTCGCTGTGTCTGCAGCATAGGATAGCTTATATGTTTCCTCTTCCCGGTGGTAAATAGTCGCAGAGAACTTCGATGCAAGCTTACATATTTATCATACAACAGCTCTACAACCATTAAAAACAGTAGTGAGTCATGATATATGTTGGTAAATTCCAATTGCTAAAAGCGGCGTAAAACCATACTCACTCACTCTCTACAACCTTTAAAAACAGTAGTGAGTCATGATATATGTTGGTAAATTCCAAGTATTAAACCAAAGATGAATGTTGATGATGAACGTCCTATTTATGTCTTGAAACGGTCATGTCAAGACACATCCGACTGTCAAGACACATCCGACACATGCATAGGTTGTCACTCTTGATTGTAACACTTTCAAGGAACGTAACATCATTTTCGGGACACCATTTGTTCTTGTCACTTTTACAAAGCAGTGTTAGCAAACTATGGTGGTATTACGCAATACTAATGGAACATAGTCTACATGGAACTTTCCAATCTCACCGTTAAGATCGTTGGAAACGTCTGCATCAACTTGACTATCGGGATTAATGTGGTCTGGGTTCCGTCATAACTAGTTTCAGTTTCTTAATTATTATTATTCAGCTATTAATCTCATGCTAAAAACTAATATCGCTTACATTTGAGCCAATTGTAAGATATTTCCTAGTTATACCCGACTTGTTTTTTTGTGGCATGAAGTGTATCATTTCATTTTGTGGGCTCATTGCTTCAAAATGAGTGATACAACGAGAGTGTCATCAGTTAGCTCCCCTGGTGTCTTGAGACATCTCCTTTAGATATTTCAGGCGCTTCAGTAATGCTCGCATCATTGAAAACTGACGCACAAAAGAAAGTACACACCTGGTGCTTTTGGATTACTTTCCAAACAGCGACGTAAATGTTTTGAAAAGTTTTTACAGTGATATGTAAGTCACAGACATTCCTAATATGTTGTCAAAACACCACAGATATCGTGCCCAATTGCGAAGTTGCCAGTCAAAATCACAACACTTTTCAAATAATAGCAAAACACCAGGTGTGTACTTTCTTTTGTACGTCAGTTTATTTGTATGTCGATCTGGAAAGCATAAAACATATTTCTAAAAACAAATAGTAAGGGCTACATCCGATCCTACTTCAGGCCTGTTCTGAACGTTCGTTCCCCATTTCCTTCAACATCTATACGATCTTCATTATTTGACACATTGCCACAACTACGATAAGTAAACGTGATTTTGTAGGCTATCATTTTGTCAGATATGGTAAAACATCACTGGCGTATCGTCCTCGGCTCTCAATCCTCTTACTAGGAAAATCTTCCAGGCGGGTTACAATTTGTCTTCAGCAACCCATCGTTTCCGCCAGAGGTGACTAACGGGATCGGCTGATGCACGTCATCGTGTCCAAGTTGCGCAGATAGACGCTCATGACGTCAATCACTGGATTGACTGGTGCAGATTCTACTTTGTACACACCTCCGTCATGTAGACGAGTACAACAACAACAACAAAAGTAAATAACAAACAAAATTTGCCTCGCTCATGAGAGTTATTTGATTGGGTGACTGATTCAGCGTCCTTCAATTCAAACTGGGACGTAAACACACACGTGGTAGCGAATATATCCGGGGTAACAATAATGCAGATAGAGTGAGTGAGTGAGTTTAGTTTTACGCCGCACTCAGCAATATTCCAGCTATATGGCGACGGTCTGTAAATAATCGAGTCTGGACCAGACAATCCAGTGATCAACAGCATGAGCATCGATCTGCGCAATTGGGAACCGATGCCATGTGTCAACCAAGTCAGCGAGCCTGACCACCCGATCCCGTTAGTCGCCTCTTACGACAAGCATAGTCGCCTTTTGTGGCAAGCATGGGTTGCTGAAGACCTATTCTTCACGGGTCAATGCAGATAGAATGATAGGATGTCTTGTAACGTGGGTTCATCCTCGACCCAGTGTTGGTAAACAAGACACAGTTCCCATAACATCTGTATCTGGTAGATGAGGTCAGAAGCACCGGACATAAACATGATCATATACAACTGCTACCGGAAGTAGTATGTTTGTCTGCCACTGTAAACTGTGTATGTAGGGCAGGGTCACAAAAGTCACTGAATTTCCCACATTTCTCATGTATGGAGAGTCCTCCAGGGTTGTTATGACAACCTGACACAGTTACGGAGAAATATAGTGATAGTGGTAGTGAGACATAATTTGCAGTTAATGAGGATGTAGCATTGTGTTGTGTGGGGTATATGGCGATGGGGTGGGGTGGTGTATATGAAGCACATGCATAATCACACATGCACGCACACAGATATATCAAGACAGCAGACCCCATATATAAAGACACAGTCATATTCACACACATGCATGTCACACACATGCACGCACGCACGCACTCAATCGCATGTACATAAAATCACACAAATTGACCTCAGTATATCTAAATGCACGCAAACGAATACATAAAGACGCAGACATATATTAAGACACAGTCATGTTAACACACATGCATGTCACACACACACATGCACGCACGCCTTCACGCACGCACGCACATAAAATCACACAACTTGACAGCTCAGTGAAAATGCACGCACACCATATATAAAGACGCACACATATACAAAGACACAGTCATATTCACACACAGTCATAGTCACACATATGCATGTCACACACACATGCACGCATGCCTGCACAAAAACCCATACAAACTGACATCAGTATATCTAAATGCACGCACACAAATATATAAAGACGCAGACATATATAAAGACACATTTATATTAACACAAGCACGCAAGCACATAAAATCACACACAAATTGACATCAGCATATCTAAATGCACGCACACCAATATACAACACAAATATATATAGACGCAGACATATATAAAGACACAGTGATATTCACACACATGCATGTCACACACACACATGCACGCACGCATGCATGCATGCATGCACGCACGCACGTATGCACGCACGGACACAAAATCGCACAAATTGACATCAGTATATCTAAATGCGACAAGTGTTCCTTGCGGCTGGTGACATGCTATTGTCATGTGGCAGAGTAATAATATACTCGTATTCGAATCCAAGCACAGTGGTAGCCCTGTACATGACACCAACCCACGCGGGAATATAACAAGCTCTGAGTTAATAAAGGAGACCGTAATTGGTCAGTTACAGTTAATGTTTAAAGCCTTGGCTCATCAAGGAGATATACTGACGAACGGAGAGCATACAATCAACACGGCATATACTAACTGCCTATGCTTATCAAAGACTGATTCATGAAAGTTCTATAAGTACTTTAATTAATCATTGTCCACCATTGGTATCAAATAGATTGACGCGATCTATTTTCATACCTGTACAACAAAAGGTATATGTTACTTTCGTGAAGGTATGGTACATGTTTAAAAAACACATAAACATGCAGGTACTGCTAAACGTAAGGGCACATAATGCAAATTGGACAAAACAAATATACAAATAACAATAGTGTCACTGACTGTCGTTCATACTTGCACATGTTTATCTGTTATTCAGGCCGATCTAATATTCAGACTGACTTGGCGAGGCACAGGGATAAAGGTTTCAAGGGTAAAGTTACTATGGACAAAATAGTTCATTCCGTGTAAATGATATATACATGGTGCGTGTTGACAATATCTTCCAACAAGCATGCATGCACACCAAGGTGTTGCCGTGCATCTCAATGGGTATCTTGTGAAAGTGTATTTGTACATGTACAGCGTTATCCCATAAGATACATCTGAATGTTGGTGTGTATCTCAACCGGTACCTAGTAAAGGTGCACATATGCGAGCACAATGTCATCCAATGCGATTAACCCGCATGCTGCTTTGTTTTTCAATGGGTAAATTGTGTATCTTGTAAAGGTAAAATAAGCAAGCACAAAATTATCCAATACGATACACTCTGATGTAGCTTTTGAGCACTGAGACATAGAGAATGTTGTCATCAGTGATACAGATACCTTGTGGCTCCTCGATACCATCGTCTCTGGTGAGGACATCTCTCACAAACTTCCCATCTACAGTCAGCTGAACTACTCTGTGGCCCTCTCTATCAGAAGCATAGATGTAGCCCCCGTGAGCCCTCACTGTCAACAGTCCTATAAACTTCTTGTCGACTCTAGGTTTGAACTTAAACAGCAGATTCCCCATTTCGTTGAAACACGTTATCGCGTGATGCTTTAAATCTCCCACTATACAGTTGCCGTTGTAGGTGCACACGCTGTACGGTTCGTTTAGGTGGCTTCTGTCAAATGTCCTGAGAATATTCCCAGTCATATCAATTACATCCACTCCACAATTTCCCAGGACATGACTTCCAACCAATGTTCCTGGAGACAGGAATGCAATAGAGCTGTATCGTGTTTTTGTGTCAATAGTGCGCTGTAGATCCAGATCTGGGAATACTTTGAAAAATACTATTTTGAAATGGCACCACACACCTGAAAACAAAAATTTACAATTTGAAACGTAGTGTTCCAGTATTGGATCATGTGTAGTAATTTTCATTTTACTGCAGTTTTCATTTTACTGCAGTTTTATATATTTTTTGTATGCGGAAGAAAAGCTCTAAATGACACACGTGAAGCGTGATAGATACCACACACATGTCGCTGACAATTCCATGGATCAGAATCAGTGAGACAGGGCTGAGTTTCCCTAAGCTTTCTTATCGATTGTCGACTGAACAGCGCTTTGCTTGCTTCCTCAACAGTATCTCGTTCGTTCCACAAAGCGATCGCAGCGCTTAGATGATCGTAACCTCCATACATAAACACGGACTTAGCGCTAAGATCGCTATGTGAAACGGATCCCGACTGATCGTGTGGCAGGTATGATACCACGATGCATTTAATCTTACATTCGCAGAAACGGTATATATACCATGGTCTGTTTGCTTAATGATTGTTGTGAAGTATCTGGCCCATTATAAGTGAGGTGAGGTGAAATTGGGTTTAACGTCGTGCTCGAGAATATTTCGCTCATATGACGACTTGCATGCGTGTGTATGTGTAGGTGCGGCTGCTTGTACTAGCCCAGACTTAAGCTGGTTTTATAGTGCTAGCCCACTGAGATGCCATGCCGCAGTGAAGCATGAATACCCAACTCAGACACATTATACTGACTCCGAGCCGACCAGTCCTTGTTGTACCCATTACTGCCGAGCGCCAGGCAGGGACCAACAAGTACCATATTTTAACGTCTTTTGGTATGACGCGGTCGGGGATCGAACCCGCGACTTTTCGCTCTCCGGGCGGACGCTCTAACCACTACACCACGGAGGCGGTCCCCATTATAAGTGACTTAATACACATGGAAAAGAGTATCGCAACATCTGGCATGTTTGATGGTTTCAGTATGTTACCATAAACCGAAACGTCTCCAAACCTCATTATAAGTGAATATATACACAGGGAAAAAAAGTCTTGCAACACCCCATATCTTTCATGATATCTATATGTTAACCATCATGATAGCAATGGAACTTTACCAAACCTCAGATTAACTAATTATCTGGCCTAGATGAACAAATTGACCTTCAAGGAATAATTAGATGGTAAAATCTAAACGCACAAAAGAACGGAAAAGTGTAGCCTATTCACAGAACCAAACATGACAAACATGTGACACATTTTGGAGTGCTTATAAGTATGGTCGTACCACCTTAACATGCGCGATCATTTTCAAACTTCTGTCAAGAAATCACGACAGTATCAATAACAGAGCACAATAAAAAATATGAACATCAGCCTTTCCCCATGATTTCAAATCCACGTGACGTCGCACTTGTCACCAAGCTAGATGTGCTGCCTTGTGCTCTGGGATTAACAAAGGACGTCTACTTACAGAAAGGACGTCTATTGGACATACGACGAAGTGGAAGCCGCAGTATTACTACGCCACTTGACATGCACGGATGAAGTATTCTCCCTCGGGGTTTTCACTCGTGGTCGACCTGAACATCAGCTTGCTGAGGACAACCAACATCACTCCCAATAGCGCTAGCTCTCTTGAGATGACAGCATTCCACATTCAAGTATCTTGCCATTTTTGAGCAGTTGAGGAGACCCCATTTTTGCTAATCAACAACCAAATCAATTGATTTTCCAAACTATAGGAACAGTTTACTGAAACTTAATATTTGTTTAATGGTGGGAAGGGTTTTCGCACGAGATACCCGCCTTTAGTTCATGGTAATGTATGGTGCACCGGAAGAGTCCACTTAATCATACATACAAGCATAAATATGACATGACTGACTGACTGACTGAGTTTGGTTTTACGCCGCTTTTAGCAATATTCCAGCAACATCACGGCAGGGACACCAGAAATGGGCTTCACACATTGTACCCATGTGGGGATTCGAACCCGGGTCTTCGGCGTGACGAGCCCACGCTTTAACCACTAGGCTACCCCACAGCCCCAAATATGACACGAATTTACGACTAAAGTGGTGTTGGGGGTGGGGGTCTGAAAGTGATAGGTGTTGTGATACTTTTTTCCCACGTGTACTGATTGTTGGTACATACCAGCAGCCACCAGGTTGTCCTCGATGATAGTGAAGTTCGTTGCAAATTGTTTCATGGGGAGTGTACTCGTCCTCTCCTCGCCCGCTTCCCTGTACAAAGCGTTCACAGACTTGTTCTCTTGGTCAGACGTCAGTATAACAGTAGCCCCCTCGAGTGTCATCACCAAGACATCCATGGTTATCTTGCTACCGGATCGGCACCCTGGAGTATTTTCAATAATTTCTACTAGTTCCGATCTTCCTGGCGCAATGATTGGTTGATTGGGGGGTTTATCACGTGACTTTTTGCTAGGCGGTTTACGTTCCGTCGAGTTCGAGGTCTTCTGATGCTTTGTGTCAGTAGGTTTCTTATTGGCCTTTCCTTTAGGATCTGTAGGTGAGTAAGTAAATGATCATTCATTCCACTTAGAGTACTATAGTTATATCATGGCGTGGTAACTTACATTTGGGGAAGGCCCGGGGTATTGAAGATACGTGTGCTACAAATCACGCATCGGTCTGTTCCTGCAGCTCTTTGTAGGGTTAAAGTGTTCAATGTTTAACGTAAAAACTCAATAGTAAATAATAGTGACATTTGAAAATAATAGAGTCTGCACCAGACAATCCAGTTATTCACAATGCCAGCAATGATCCTAACAATTCATCGAGTCTGACCACGCGAATCATTAATGCGACGAGCGTAGGTTGCTGCGGACCAACTCTATCCCGTATTTCCGGTATTGTCATCGAGTCAGGACCAGACAATCCCGTTACTGTTACCATGGGCATCGATCTAAGCAAATGGGATACAATGACATGTATCAAGAATTCTGATCACCCGATCCGTTAGTGGCCTTTTATGTAAAGTATGGGTTGCTGAAGACCAGTTCTAATACGGATCTTCGCGGCTTGACGTCCATAAAGTGTCTTTGGATCAAAGACACTTTGTCATGGTTAATTGTTCGAAACTTTGTACCTGAAATCTTCTTAAAGTTTTGAACTGTGGAAATACACTGACTAGAGACTTGACTCTTTCGTCTTTTGAATAAAAAGTACAGACCACTTTCCATAATCGTTCGCAATCTCTGACAAAATCACGGTTCTGTCGGCATCATGAGCTTGTGTGTATATATAACTACGAAAATTATAATGAGGCGTGTCCGCGAAAAGGTGAGCGTATACTACCCATCATGGCGGCGTCAGGGGCAACTATACAAGTCAAATGTTAACCGAATAAGCATTGGCACAGTGTGGCAGCTCAAAATAGGGAATTGCATCGGACATCATTTTTGTCACTGAGGCGTCAAATATATATGTCCTCTACATGTCCACCACAAAATATATCAAAGTGTCATAAGACCTTGAATGTTGTAAACCTGATCAAAATATTTCTTTTTCAACTGCTGCAGGGTTGGGACCAGAGGAATGTTTAATAATCATATAGTTTCTATATTCCAGGCACGGAGACAAAACATATGGGATATGTTATGATATGATATGATATGATATGATATGGCAGGTTTGACCCTTTGTATATCTGATATATGTTATGATATGATATGATATGATATGGCAGGTTTGACCCTTTGTATAACTGATATATGTTATGATATGATATGATATGATATGACAGGTTTGACCTTTTGTAGTCAAATATACCTTTTGATTCGCATTTCCTCCTCGGGCGCGAGTATGGAGTCGGTTTTGCCGGGAACTTTTCCGTGGACTTTTCTGTGGACTTCAACGAGGACCTTGTGAGGGCCTTCAGCCTGCTAGATGTGCGCCGTCCTGACATGCTTGTTTTCTCTGCCTGTATAATGTAGGAGACAAACCAGCTGGTTATACATATGTAGCGTTGTCCCAGGACAAATGGATTCTTTGACTTCAGTGGACATAGTTGCAAACATGCGTATAGAGAGTACGAAATATGCCAGGAATATCAAAACGATCTTTCAATACGTTACTCTGCGCCAAGCAAACCAGTGTTTTATATCATGACACGCAATAACTTTAGTGATCATTTGACAAATTGTGTGTTTCATTGTTGGTGTTTTTTACAACAAAGACCGATAACTAATCGGTTTTACAGAACAAGGTTCTTTACAGATGTCTCTGTATACTGTTTGGGGCGGTGGGGTAGCCTAGTGGATAAGGCGTCCACTCGTCACGCCGAAGACCCGGGTTCGATTCCCCACATTGGCACAATGTGTGAAGCCCATTTCTGGTGTCCCCCGCCGTGATATTGCTAAAGTATTCATAAAAGCGGCGTAAAACTAAACTCACTCACTCACCCACTCACTGTATACTGTTTCTGCATTTAGCTTCTCTTCCCGTTGAACGAAGGTTTGAGAACGAGGCTACTACATGGATGGCACAGTAATGCCTGCGTCCATAATATCAACCACTGGTTTGCCTGTCCCACATTCGAGTTAATTAAACACACATATAATCCGTTGAGGGTTCTACAAATTCCCAGACCGAATTATACTTCTCGGTACCTGATAGTAACTATTTCATGTTTCATCAGTTCCAGATGGGACAAGACCTAAGAGACATTGTAAATCACTCGTTTAGCATATGGACAAATTTAGAAAATTCTTGGGCAGTGGGATAGCCAAGTGGTTCAAGCATTATTATCATGCCAAAGACTCGGGTTCGATTTCCTGGATGGGTATATTGTGTCAAGTCCTTTTGTGGTGCCCTCCGCCGTGACATTGCTAGGATAATTCTAAAACGGCGTGAAAACAATACTCACTCCTCACTTACTAGCTAAGTCGCACCTCATCTTATGATCATTATTGGGAAGGGAGGTAATCCATTAACTCTATTTTCATCTGTTTTATATGGAGAAGAGGTCTTCATAGTTTGAATATTTTTTTCATTAGGCAAATCCTCTTCTGTCTTAGCCATACTGTGTTTTCGTATACAAAGTAATAGAACAGAATTTGCCATAACACATGGGAAAGTGGTTAGGGTCGGATTGTGGTCAAGGCCGGCTGAAATAAGCGATGCGTTCGTTCAAGCATGTCGTTTGAGTTTTTACACTGGGCATTATCGGTTGTCAGAGCAATCTTGAAGCATAAATTCACTCTAACACTGGTCAATTGTGGTATGCAAATGCCAATAACTAAGGTCCTTACCCTTGAAGCCACAACGTTCGTCCACACTGTGGGAGAAACACAGTGTGAAAGTAACACACTTTCTTGTTTCGGGTCAGGGAGCTTGTGTAAGGGAGATAACTGCAGCTGGCTTAGGATATTTTCAATATGATGCACGTTTCAGATAAGTATATAAATTGTGCGAAGGAGATTGAACCACTGTTGATTAATTTTCTTGTTAGAAATGCAATTTTTCACACAACACTATTGAATTGGAAAATGGAGTTGCGAGAAATGAGATTTGTCTGCAATGTGTATTCACAGCCTGCGCTGTTCCTCCTTTCGTTTTGCCTCCTCCGTTAGAGAATATGCCCGAACTTGCCCTCAGGCGTACCTCAGTCTGGGTAATGCAGCAGGCTGCTGACTGTAAAGGATCACCCAAACCCTCCTTGCTGCATTCATCTATTATAGTCTACTTAAAGCAGATAAGTGTGGACAATTCCAACCATTTGTTGATGAATCACTAGTGATAATGCCAGGTTTTCGTGAGCGTTTCACCTGCAAAATAGCAGAGAACATATGACGCTAGTTAAACCAGTCCCAGAAGTGTGAAATTTGGTAATGTCCTACACGTCCTCATTCCAAATGAATGATGTTCACATTCATTTAGATGTTCGTAAACAAGACAGCAACATAATATTAATAATAATTCATGATGCAGAGTATACTCACCCGCTAAAGTTATGCAATCATTGATAACGTTTGTAATGTATATTCATGTATATTAGCGATGACGCTAACTTTTTATCATGTGGCTTGTGGCTTGTAGTTCAGCGAATCTGGTAAGAGGCGACTAACGGGATCGGGTGGTCAGACTCGCTGACTTGCTGGACACATGTCATCGAATCCCAATTGCGTAGATTGATGCTTATGGTGTTGCTCACTGGATTGTCTGGTCCAGACGCAATTATTTACAGACCTGGAAATTGCTGGAATATTGCTGAGTGCGGCGTAGAACTGAACTCACTCACGCAGTCACTCATTGAATCTGAAACACGCCTTGCCAAATTGCTCAAACTGGTTTTGAATATTCATAATTTATATTTATTTATAAAATATGTAAAGTATTTACCAAGGATGGAATGCCTATACATCTATGAAGAATTTGAAGAATAACTTAAGGGAGATCTTGTTACCCTGCTTCCCAGATATTGTACGTGCGCTTGAAAACGATGGGCCAAGTCATCTTTAGATATGCGCGAAGAACTCTGCACATTCCTTGTCAGTACAAAAGTGTAGCAAAACGTTTTCATTGTGAAAGAATCAATATCAAGGACCTTTTCGTATTATGAATTCCTTCAAATTGTATTTGATATGCGTGTATGGGGTAAACTGTTGCCCGTGCTTTTCATAGAATTTGCAACGTCTTTCGTAAGTAAAACCTATTTTACATATTGTTTGCACAAGCCATACAATAAAGCAAATGCATTTTGGAAAAGATACATTCGTCATGCGAACACTCGATAACAATGTATTGGTCGACTTGAGGCTAGTAAGCATCAGTGGCAAGGCAAATCGACTTTGGCCAGAGCACATCCCAACACTATAGCAGGGCTTTTGGAGAAGTGTGTGTGAGCGCGCACACAAACAAATTATCCCCCAAGTCCAAGTCTCCTCGGAGAAAATGTTTCGGGGGAGGTGAGGGGTCTGGATCTGCAGCTTAGGATATTTTCACTCCAATGGACGTTTCAGGTAAGGTTACATTATGGGATGGCGATCGAACCAATGTTGATTCAGGTACAGTTTTTCACACGACACTATTGATTTGGAAAATAGAGTTGCGAGAAACGATATTTATCTGTAATTTGCATCGTTCGTTGTCTTTTCATTGTGTGTGTAATGACACACAGGATCAAGACCGATCAGTTGCTCTCGGAAACGTAAGAGAGTCACATACTGATGGCATATATTATTGAAAAAAAAATACACTTCGCAACAAAAAAAGGTTAACAAAGTAGAGCTAGCTGATCTAATCCTGCTATTGGTATCTGTAATATGTATAATACCTAATCGGGCAAATCTGTAGTCACTCCCTCCTCAATATCATTTGAGAGGCGTCCAATGTCAATCACAGACACCTGAAGCCTCCCAATCATAAAGGTTGAACAGTTTATCAGAAGATCTAGAGTCGGGGTTAATATTAAACATCACGAATAACAAGTAAATTCCCATCCTAATGGTGACTATGCTACACTACAGGCTGAAGCAGCCTGTGCTGGTCGGAAGGCGCTTATATGGATCGGGTGGTCAGAGTCATTGACTTATTTGTATCCCACTTTGAATATTGATTGTAGTTACTAGATTACTCACACACCGCCAGTTCTTAGGTCGAATATTACTTTTTTACTGAATTGCCTTAAATGTAAGTCCCCTGGGCCCCGTTCCTCAAATCGTAGCGCTACGACAGTCGTAACTCCCATACTTTAACATAGACTTACGAAAGTACGATCGCTTTGAGGAACGGGGCCCAGGACTGAAAGTGAGTGAATGAGTGATTTAGTATTTAGCGTCATATCGGGAATGTTTCAGCCATATCGTTAAATTTAATTTATATCAATATTAAAATCAACAAATTTAAAACATAAATACCCGTCATCGAAGGACAGTAAAAGTATCACTGTTCGTAATCTAAAACTAGTACGCTACCATAACGATGTATCACTATAGACAACAGTACAATATAGAAACTGGCAATAGATCACCAGCAGCTGAAGGCTGATTATAATACTATGGACCATGGACTTACAGTATCAACCTTTCAATAGTCCCTGAACTGAAAGAGGTGAGGTGAGGTGAAATTGGGTTTAACGTCGTGCTTGAGAATATTTCGCTCATATGACAACGTGCATGCGTGTGTATGTGTAGGTCCGGCTGCTTGTACTAGCCCAGACTTAAGCTAGTTTTATAGTGCTAGCCCACTGAGATACCTTGCAGCAGTGAAGCATGAATACCCCACTCAGACACATTATACTGACTCCGAGCCGACCAGTCCTTGTTGTACCCATTAATGCCGAGCGCCAGGCAGGGACCAAAAAGTACCATTTTTAACGTCTTTTGGTATGACGCGGTCGGGGATCGAACCCGCGACCTTCCGCTCTCCGGGAGGACGCTCTAACCACTACACCACGGAGGTGGTCACGTCCTATTTGACAGCATTTATGTCTGGAAACAGTCATGCCAAGACACAATCGACAGATGCACGTGCCACACACAATGAGGCCACACAAGTGCGCAGGGTATCATTCTTGATTCTAACACCTTCACGGAACTGGACATCATTTTCGGAACAACATTTGTTATTGTCCCATCTGCAAAGGAATGAAAAACTCATCTACCTACTAACAGACCTACTGGCCATTGGGATACGGTATGAATGTATCGCAAATGATGTCAGTATTACGCGATACTAATTAAGAAACGTCTATTTGAACATTCCCATCTAGCTATAAGATCGTTGGTGCTCATAACATCTGCAACAACCTCACTTCCGCGTCATAACTAGTTTCACTTTATGTTTTATTATCATTCAACTATTATTGCCATGCTAAAATGTAATATTGCTCACGTTTTAGCAAATGTTTAAGTATTTCTAGTTATCCCTTTCATGGCGTGAAGTGCATCTTTTCATTTTGTTGGCTCATGGCGTCAAGATGAGAGATACGAGAGTGTCATCAGTTAGCTCCCCTTGTGTCTTGAGCCGCATCAGTTTTAGATATTCTTGGCGCTTCAGTAATGCTCACAGCATTGTATTTTTCCATTCATGCATAAACTGTTTTTCGCTAATCCACTTTTTTCATTATGGACTTATTGACTGTAAATAAATCACAAATTTTGCGGCCAAATAGAGATACATTTATTATCTAAAAGCGACAACACTGTAGTCCAGTGACATTATGTCTATATGGAAAAATATGTAAAATCATAGTTTTTAGACAAATAGAAAGGACTGTTTCTGAACCTGCTTAAGGCCTCTTCTGAATGTTCCTTCCAACATTCGTTGCGCATCTAACAACGTGTAGTCCTCGAGTCAGTAATATTCTAATACATTGCCTCCCTACATGTAAACCTGATTCATGCAAGCACAATGTTAAGGAACACGGTACAAACCGATCCTACTGTGTATCTCAATGGGCGTCTTGTTCATGTGAACATATGCAAGCACACTGTCATCCAATACGATACACTCTGATGTAACTGTTGTACACTGATACATAGAGGAGGTTTTCATCAGTGATACAGATACCTTGTGGCTTCACGATTCCATCGTCTCTGGTGAGGACATCTCTCACAAACTTCCCATCTACAGTCAGCTGAACTACTCTGTGGCCCTCTCTGTCAGAAGCATAGATGAAGCCCCCGTGAGCCCTCACTGTCAACAGTCCAATAAACTTCTTGTCGACTCTAGGTTTGAACTTAAACAGCATATTCCCCATGTCGTTGAAACACATTATCGCGTGATTCTTTACATCTCCCACTATACAGTTGCCGTTGTAGGTGCACACGCTGTACGGTTCACTTAGGTGGCTTCTGTCAAATGTCCTGAGAATATTCCCAGACATATCAATTACATCCACTCCACAATTTCCCAGGACATGACTTCCAACCAATGTTCCTGGAGACAGGAATGCAATAGAGCTGTATCGCATTTTTGTGTCAATAGTGCGCTGTAGATCCAGATCTGGGAATACTTTGAAAAATACTATTTTGAAATGGCACCATACACCTGAAACAAAAAAGATGCGAAACCATGATGCCCTTTATCCTGGCTTCGCAGCAACGGTATATATATGATGGTTCCTTTGCTTAATGATTGGTGTGTAGAATAAATGAGTAAATACACATTGAAAAAGTATCGAAACACCCCATATTTTTCATAGGATCTACATGGTACCATTCACAATAGCAAGGGAACCTTTCCAAAACCTCACTTTAACGTATTATATGAATTATCTGACCCTCAAAGAACAATTACAAAGCACAGTGAACTCAAATCTAGTTTTGTGCAGCGAAGCAAACATGGCAAAGATATCACATAAGTATCAATAACCGAACACAATCTCACTATCTGGTGTAACTGCAATGTATACCTGACCCTCCGTCTCGTTTATTATCAGACGTTGAGTTTGACGTTGAGGTAATGCGTTCTATTCTTGATGAAGGACCTGTTCCAATACATCTCGAGTTACTACTCAATCCCCCTTGCGTACTCTGCGGCCCACAGCGTCTCCAGTGTCTTGCATATACTCCATGCAATTAAGATCTGGACTCCTGGCGGCCAATTAAGGTAGAGTTGCTGCCACTTCTTCACATAAGAAGCTACCAACGTCACATGGGCGATGAGGCCTAGCTTTGTCGTCCATGAAGACTAGGCTTGTGTGCACCAATGAACCCCGTCAAATGGAACTTGCTGCCAGATATTCCTTTGTACATCTTCAGTGTTTCTGCGGCACCAAACAGAAAGCTTGGTCATCAGTCAGGAATGAATAAAATCGACTTTCGCCCGATCAGTGGACCTTTCGCCTTGACCTCAAATTCCCGTGACATTGTGTTTGACACCAAGCTTGAAATGCTGTCTTGTGCTTTCGGGAGAACAAAGGTGGTCATTTAGGCGATGTCTGATATTTCTGTTGTACAAACGACGATGTTCTGCACTTGACATGAACGGATGAAGTCTTGTGACTGTGGGAAGAGTCATTCTGTCCCATGGAGCTGTCATTTGTGGCCGACTTGAACGCTGACGGTTATCAGTATAATTAGTTTACTGATGTTTTCTGGCCAGTCGGCTGATAGTTGATGGAGGACGACCTAGTTGATGGAGGACGACCTACATCTCTTGCAGTAACCCTCAATGACATGCCAGCATTCCATATACCAGTAACTTTCAATCTTTGAGCAGTTGTCAGTTAAAGATGCCCATAATTGATTAGCAACAACGAAATCGATTGATGTTCCAAGTTATCGCGCTGTAAGACTGGTTTACAGAAACTTGATATTTACTTAATGACTGCTACATGTATTCCGCGTGATGTTCATCGTTGGTCGTAACTGATACATGTCTAAAATCCATGTATGATAAATTGTAAAATAATCACACAAACATACATAATTATTATACAAACATAAATGTTAAAAGGGGGTTAACACTCATAGGTGTTTAGATACCTTTTCCTGTGTGTATAGAATGCTCTCGTTAAGGTTGTTTGTACATACCAGCAGCCACCAGGTTGTCCTCGATGATAGTGAAGTTCGTCAGACATTGACTCGTGGGGAGTATACTCGTCCTCTCCTCACCCCCTTCCCTGTACAAAGCGTTCACAGATTTGTTGTCTCTGTCAGACGTCAGTATAGCAGTAGCCCCCTCGAGTGTCATCACCAAGATATCCAACATTAACTGGCTACCGGATCGGCATCCTGGAGTATTTTCAATAATTTCTACAAGTTCGGGTCTTTCTGGCACAGTGATTGGTTGAATAGGTGGTACATCACAAGATTTTTTGATGGACTGTTTACCTTTGCCTTTAGTCGAGTTCGAGGTCTTCTGATGTTTTGTGTCACTTGGTTTCTTTTTGGTCTTTCCTTCAGGATCTGTAAGTGAGTAAGTGAATGAGAATTCATTCTGCTTTTAATAATTCAGTTCAGAAAATCACGGTTCTCATTTCTATCTCATTCCTCCAGCTCTAGGTTGGGTTAAAGTTTTCAGTGTTGCTTAATGTTTAACGTAAAATACAATAGGGAATATTAGTGCCATATGGAAATAATCGAGTCTGCACCTTATTATCCAATGTTACTCGTTGCAATCAAGGGTGACTACTCGACCCATTTTTAGACTATTTTAGGTGCCTGCGCCTCACTCTACCATGAAGCCAAGATACTAAAACCATGGAACAGTACGACTTGACGAATAGAAGCGACAGAACCGTTCAATATTCATAAGAAATCTCTGCTAAAGGCAGAGTCGATTGTACAATTGTGACTATATCATTAGTATATATTTGTTTCAGCAATATTGCAGCTGTACGATGTTGTTTGTAAACAAATCGAGTCTGGACCCCAGACAATCCAGTGATTGTCACGATGACAGTGTTTATGAATCACTATGAAATAGTGATGATACCAGGTGTGATATAAAGGTGAGCGTATCCTGCCCCACCGGTGGCACCCGCCATAAACATATGCAAAGTCACCTGTTCACCTGAAATAATTCGGGAACGTGTGGTACAAGTGAAAAAGGGAATTGCATCGGATATAATTTTTGTCACTGAAGCATCAAATTTAGAAATGTCGTGCACACGTTTACCACAAAACCAATAAACTATAATCTGTTTGTTTATTATTAGTTTTTGTTTGTGTTGTTATTTGTTTAACACCGCACTCAGCAATATTCCAGTTATATGGACCAGACAATCAAATGGCTGACATCATCAGCATCAATCTAGGAAACTGGGATACGATGACATGTGTCATACAGGTCAGCCAGCCTAACAACCATTCCCTTCCGTTGCCTCTTACATTTAGCGTGGGTTGCTGAAGGCCAATTCTAATCCAGGTCTTCAAAGGTGAAAGTGTGAAAATACACTGATGAAACACGGAAGAATGTACTATGCTTTTCTTTCATTTTCATGTGGTAAATAAGAACGACAAACTCTATTGCTTTATCATAAGCGATCTCTGACAATAGCACAGTCTGATGTACGATCCTGTCTGAATCATGAACTTTATGAATTACTATCAAATTATAATGAGACGTGGTGAGCGTATACTGCCTATCCGTGGCGTCCATCCGGGTCACTAGCAATTACAAATCAAATGTTTAACCTCAACAACATTGGCACAGTATGACAGGTCAAATTAGGGAATTGCAGGGGCAGGGCAGGGCAGGGTAGGGCAAATACCTTGAATGTTGCAAACCTGATGAAAATAAAGGAAAACCAAGTTCTATGGATAGTCAACTACTTTATTGCAATGAGTGCGACGTTTCGGCGTCGGTACTAACACCGTTATCAAGCAAGTGATCCTTCATCTTTACAACTTCTAAAATGCCTCTCAAAGAACTGATCAAAATACCTTTTTTTCAAACGCTGTCGAGACCGAGATGAATGACACATATCTTGACACATGACATGACAGGTCAGGACAGGACAGGATAGGACATTACAGGACAGGACAGGACAGGACATTACAGGACAGGACAGGATGCGCTTCGATACGCTACAATACGATACGATGTATGACATGTGACGGGTTTGACCCTGTGTATTCGAATATACCTTTTGATACGCATTTCCTCTCAGGGCGCGAGTATGGAGTCGGTTTTGCCGGGGTCTTTTCTGGGGACTTCGAGGGATCGTCTAAGGGCTTTCAGCCTGCTAGATGTGCGCCGTCCTGACATGTTTGAGTTCGCTGCCTCTAAAATGTAGGAGACAAACCAGCTGGGTGAGTTAGATACATGTAGCTTTCTCCTGGGAAAAACGGATTCTTTGACTTCAGTGGATGTTGTTGCAAACATGCGTGTAGAGAGTACGAAATATGCCAGGAATATCAGGAAGATCTTTCAATACGTGAGACTGCGCTGGTCGGTACAATGACACGAAATGACTTAAGTCATCATTTGACAAAATCTGTGTTTCATTGTTGGTGTTTTTACGACAAAGAACGATTACTGATAGCTAAAAAATGACCAGTTTACAGAACAATAAAACAATGTTCTTTCCAGACGTGTCTGTATACTGTTTCTGTAATTAACTTCTTTTCCAGTGGAACGATGTTTTGTGAACGAGGCGACTAGATGGACCGGACAGTAATGCACGCGTTCATAATCTGTCACTGGGTTGCCTCTTCCACACACATATAATCAGTTCACCTGTTGAGGGATCCACAAATTCCAAGACAAATCCCCCCCTCCTCCCCTTCGGTGACATTGCCAGAGTGATTCTAAAAACGGCGTGATACAATACTCACTTCCCCACTCACTAGCAAAGTGGCATGTCGTCAAAAGTAGATCGATATTGGGGAGGGAGGTATTCCATTAACTACATTTTTATCAGTTTTTTATATAGATTTAAGTCTTAACAGTTTGAATTTATTTTTCATCCGGTTCTATCTCAACCATAATGTGTTTCGTACAGAATAGATTGACATAACACGTGAGAAAGTGGTTAGGGTCGGTTCGTGGTCAAGGTCGACTGAATTTAACGAAGTGTTCGTTCAAGCATGTCGGTTGAGTTTTCACACTGCACATCATTTGGTTGCTAGAGCAGCCCTTGAAGTGCAAATTCTCTCTAACATTAGTCAATATGTGGTATACAAATGCCAATAACTAAGGTCCTTACCCTTGAAGCCACAACGTTCGTCCACACTGTGGGAGAAACACCCTGTGAGAGTAACACACTTCCTTGTTTCAGATCAGGGTGCTTGTGTAAGGGAGATAACTGCGTCTGGCTTAGGATGTTTTAACACGTTTCAGGTAATGTTAAATCGTGCAAAGGAGATCGAACCACTATTGACTCAGGCAGAAACAGTCTTTCACACAACACTACTGAATTAGAGGTGAGGTGAGGTGAAATTGGGTTTAACGTCGTGCTTGAGAATATTTCGCTCATATGACAACGTGCATGCGTGTGTATGTGTAGGTGCGGCTGCTTGTACTAGCCCAGACTAAAGCTGGTTTTATAGTGCTAGCCCACTGAGATACCATGCCGCAGTGAAGCATGAATACCCCACTCAGACACATTATACTGACTCCGAGCCGACCAGTCCTTGTTGTACCCATTAATGCCGAGCGCCAGGCAGGGACCAACAAGTACCATATTTTAACGTTTTTGGTATGACGCGGTCGGGGATCGAACCCGCGACCTTCCGCTCTCCGGGCAGACGCTCTAACCACTACACCACGGAGGCGGTCTCTACTGAATTAGAAAAAAATAGTGTTGGAAAGGAGATTTATTTCATATATGCATTGATTTTGGTCTTTTTATTGGGTTTGTGTGTAAATATACGCAAGAAACAAAGAAAGGGGAGAAACACTAAGTTCATTAGTTACATAATCAATATCTTGTAGATGCCATTACTGTGATAAGGTATATATATATCATTTGCATTTAAAACAAAATTTAAATGAAAATTCAAGCTGAGGTTCAGCATTGGGAAAGTTGTGCTCCTTACACAAGGTACATTGATATTTGCCTTTTTTATGCCTATTTCAGGTTCAAGTTTAAACGAGATGTGGCTTTGTGGACCGGTCCTTCGCCAGATTGTCTGGTTTGTTTTTATACCGCCTTTTCCATAGTTATCAGAAATCTCAGCTTAAATGAGTGTCGATTGTATGTTTCTGACTGTATGATCAACATGTGTTCAGGAATCAGTATCAAATAGTGATGATACCAGGTGTTCGCGGTGTCTGCGCTGTGCCCCAACTCCTTAAAGACGTCAACTTGTACTCGTGATCATTTCTTAAACAACTATATTCCAGTGATGGGAATAAAATAACAAACAACATATACTGTGATATTGTTGGGTACAGGGTATCCATTGTCATGCTCCGTATTGACATTAACTAGACTACCACCATAAAATATGCACCTGGTCCAACCTCTCTGGCTGTGTAACTGCGAGCAGACTTATCTGATCATCACATCAGAACGCCTGCGGCAAGAATAATGTATTACGGTTACAACTTGTTGCTCAGGAGTGTGTTAGCAATATATCCTCCAACACCCAAACTACCAACAGTTCCACCTTCTATCAGCAAAACGCCGCACATCCATGTACCTATACACCATATATCATTCCAACACCCACACTACCAACAGTTGCATCCTTCTATCAGCAAAACGCCCTACATCCATGTACCTATACACCATATATCACTCCAACACAAAACGCCCCACATCCATGTACCTACCAACACTTCTATCAGTTGCATCCTTCTATCAGCAAAACGCCCCACATCCATGTACCTATACACCATATATCACTCCAACACCACTACAACAGTTGCATACCAATCAGTTGCATCCTTCTATTGCACTTTTCTGTCAAAGCACACCCACTACCAACATCAGCAAAACGCCCCACATCCATGTACCTATACACCATATATCACTCCAACACCCACACTACCAACAGTTGCATCCTTCTATCAGCAAAACGCCCCACATCCATGTACCTATACACCATATATCACTCCAACACCCACACTACCAACAGTTGCATCCTTCTATCAGCAAAACGCCCTACATCCATGTACCTATACACCATATATCACTCCAACACCCACACTACCAACAGTTGCATCCTTCTATCAGCAAAACGCCCCACATCCATGTACCTATATATCACCATATATCACTCCAACATACACCACACTACCAACACTACCAACAGTTCCACCAATCAGTTGCATCCTTCTATCAGCAAAACGCCCTACATCCATGTACCTATACACCATATATCACTCCAACACCTAAACTACCAACAGTTGCCATCCTTCTATCAGTAAAACGCCCTACATCCATGTACCTATATCACTATACACCATATATCACTCCAACACCCAAACTACCAACAGTTCCATCCTTCTATCAGCAAAACGCCCTACATCCATGTACCTATACACCATATATCACTCCAACACCCAAACTACCAACAGTTGCATCCTTCTATCAGCAAAACGCCCTACATCCATGTACCTATACACCATATATCACTCCAACACCCAAACTACCAACAGTTGCAACAGCTGCATTCTATCAGCAAAACGCCCCACACACCCACACTATATATCCTATAACAGTTGCATCCTTCTATCAGTTGCAAAGCAAAACGCCCCACATCCATGTACCTATACATATATCACTCCAACACCCACACTACCAACAGTTGCATCCTTCTATCAGCAAAACGCCCCACATCCATGTACCTATACCATATATCACTCCAACACCCAAACTACCAACAACATAAAAGCAAAATAGATATCGTACTAACAGTGTATCAGCAAAACATTCAACCAACAACTCGCCTCTAATAGCTGGCATTAAGCAACATTTACTCACTTACTAACTCCAACCCATATTATGTCATGATGTCAGTGACTAGACTACTGACAGGCCGCCATTTCCTAGGCTGAATATTAGTAGGTGACGCCTTAAAAACAAACAAGCGTGTATCCCTCCTTTGTGGCCTGTTCTAGTATGTTATTTTCAGCATATGGTAGCTGAGCTTATATGTTTCCTCTACCCAGTGGTAGATATGTTTTCCAAGCCTCAGGGAATCTAATTAACAAACAAGCTTAATATATATTTAACACAGAACTGATCTTAGCTGTATGGTTAATTTATACTTATATATAATGTGTATATGTAGTGAATCATGAAATATACAGGTTAGTACCAGGTATTTGACCGTTGAATGTTGATGTTGTACGTCCTATTTGAGAGCATTTATGTCTGGAAACAGTCATGCCAAGACACAATCGACAGATGCACGTGCCACACACATTGAGGCCACAAGTGCGCAGGGTATCATTCTTGATTCTAACACTTTCACGGAACTGCATTTTCGGGACAACATTTGTTATTGTCCCGTTTGCAAAGGAATGGACCACTCGTCCACCTACCAACAGACTTACTGGCCATTTAGGGGCCATCATTGATGTATCGCAAATCAGGGCGGTATTACGCAATAATAATAATTAAACACTTCTACTTAATTTTGAACTTTCCCGTCTCGTTGTGTGATTGTTGGTGCCCATTACATCTACACAGACTCACTTCCGGGTGAAATGTGTTCTGGGTTCTGAAACCAGTTTCAATTTATTTTTTATTATCATTCAGCTATTACTATCATGCCAAAAGGTTGTATCGCTTACATTTCAGCATATGTTTAGTTATTTCTAGTTATCCCTTACTTGGGGTGAAGTGTATCTTTTCATTTTGTGGGCTCAAGACTTCAGCATGAGTGATACGAGAATGTAATGAGTTAGCTCCCCTGGTGTCTTGAGACTCATCTCTTTTAGATATTCCAGGCGCTTCAGTAATGCTCACATCATTGTCTTTTCCCATTCATGCATAAGCGGTTCTTCGCTTATCCACATTCTTCTTTCTGGATTTATTGACTGTGAATAAATCACAAATTTGGCGGTATAAATAGAAATACATTTATTATCTAAAAGCGGCAATACTGTAATCCAGTGACATTATATTTTTGCAGACAAATAGAAAGGACTGCTTCTGAACCTGCTTAGGGCCTGTTCTGAATGTTCGTTCCTAAATTCGTCCGCATCTGACAACGTGTGGTCCTCGAATCAGTAACATTATAATGCATTGCCTTAACTACATGTAAACCTGAGCTATACAAGCCCAATGTTAACGAACACGGAACACACAGATGTCGCTGTGTACATATGCAAGCACAATGTCATCCAATACGATACACTCTGATGTAGCTGTTTATCACTGAGACATAGAGGAGGTTGTCGTCAGTGATACAGATACCTTGTGGCTCTTCGATACCATCCTCTCTTGTGAGGACATCTCTCACAAACTTCCCATCTGCAGTCAGCTGAACTACTCTGTGGCCCTCTCTGTCAGAAGCATAGATGTAGCCTTTGTGAGCCCTCACTGTCAACAGCCCTACGAACTTCTTTTCGGCTCCAGGTTTGAAGTTAAACAGCATATTCCCCATGTCGTTGAAACACATTATCGCGTGATTCGTCATATCTCCAACTATACAGTTGCCGTTGTAGGTGCACACACTGTACGGCCTGCTGAAGTGACTTCTGTCAAATGTCCTGAGAATATTCCCAGACATATCAATTACATCCACTCCACAATTTCCAAGGACATGACTTCCAACCAATGTTCCTGGAGACAGGAATGCAATAGAGCTGTATCGTGTTTTTGTGTCAATGGTACGCTGAAGATCCAGATCTGGGAATACTTTGAAAAATATTATTTGGTATTGATACCACACACCTGAAACCAAAACAAAATGACAGTTTGAAACGTAGTGCTGAAGCATTTGCCCATGTGTAATAATTCTCATTTTGCTGCAGTCTTACATTTTTAATGTGGTAGAAAAGCCCTAAATGACAAACGTTAAGCATTATACCACAAGCATGACAAATCATGGATGTGAGATCACAGCTGAGTTTCACTAAGCTATCTTATCGCATCGATTGTGAACAGCACCCTGCTTGCTTCCTGGGCCCCGTTCCTCAAAGCGATCGTAGCGTTAAGATGATCGTAACTCCCATACTTTAACATAGACTTACGACAGTCGTAGCGCTACGATCGCTTTGAGGAACAGGGCCCAGAACAGTATCTCGTTCGTTCCACAAAGCGATCGCAGCGCTTAGATGATCGTAACTCCCATACATAAACACGGACGAAACGCTAAGATCGCTATGTGAAACGGATCCCGACTGATGGTGTGGCAGGCGTGATACCACGATGTATTTATCTTTATTTCGCAGCGACGGTATACATACGATGGCCCCTTTGCTTTATGATTGGTGTGACGAATTCAGCTAATAAAAAGTGATTACATATTCATGGAATAAGTATCGCAACGCCCCATATTTATCATGACATCAATATGTTACCATTAACCATAGCAACGGAACTTTTCCAAACATTTTTTACTTTACTATCTAACACATTTTGGTGTGCTCATAAACATGGTCGTATGACGTTAACATGCGCGGCCATTTTCAAAATACAATCCTCAGGACAATCCTCAAGAAATCACGTAAGTATCAATAACAGGGAACAATGTCAGTATCTTATGTAACCTCCGACAACGTACTGCACTAGCATCCCTGACCCTCTGGCGCATTCTGTGACCCACACCGTCCCAAATATGCTCTATGGGACTCATATCTGGTCTCATGGTTTGCCAAAGTTGAGATACTTCTGCCTCTTGACGTGAGGAGGCACCTACGTCACGTAAGCGATGTAGCCTAGCATTGACATCCATGAAGAATGGCCTTGTTTTCAGAGGATGGTCATCGGAATGTGGTTCACCAACCCTGTCAAACTTTGTCTGATTGTCACAAGGTCAAGTTTACATTCATGTGAGGCACCTTTAATGAAACCCCGTCAAACGGCATTTGCTCCAAGATAAGCCGTTGTGCATATGAAGTATTTCTAAGGCCATCAGTTATGAATAAAAGAAAGTCGAGTAGCTCTTTCTCCAATTCGTTAAATTCACGTGACGTCGCACCTTCCACCAAGCTAGTTGTGCTGCCTGGTGCTCTAGATCTGGGACTAATAAAGGACGTCTTTATTCAGAAAGGACGAAGTGGAAGCCATTGTTTTTGATACGCAACTTGACATGAACGGACGATGTTTAGGGATTTTAAGAAAATCTGTATCCTCCCTAGGTGTTGTCACTCGTGGTCAACCTGAATGTCATTAATTTGCTCTTGTTTTCTGTCCAGTCGGCTGGTAGTCGATGGAGGACAACCAAAGTACAATAGTCCCCAATGACATGCGAGCATTCCGCATAGCAGTCTTCAGTTGAGGAGGCCCCAAATGTGCCAATCTACTACCAAATAAACAGATTTTCTAAAATTATCGAGCTGTAAACTTAATATTTCCTGAAAGACAGGCATACGTATTTCAGAAGATGTCCGCCTTTGTTCATAGCAATGTATGGTGTTGCCGAAGGGTACAAAATCATACACGCAAACATAATTATGAAATGAATATCTGGCTAAAAGGGGATTTAAGATGATAGATGATGCGATACTTTTTCCATGTGTACTAATTCTTGGTACATACCAGCAGCCACCAGGTTGTCCTCGATGATAGTGAAGTTCGTTAGAAATTGACTCGTAGGGAGTATACTCGTCCTCTCCTCACCCCCTTCCCTGTACAAAGCGTTCACAGACTTGTTCTCCTTGTCAGACGTTAGCATAACAGTAGCCCCCTCGAGTGTCATCACCAAGACATCCAACATTAACTCGCTACCGGATTGGCACCCTGGAGTATTTTCAATAATTTCTACTAGTTCGGATCTTCCTGGCACAATGATTGGCTGAATAGGTGGTACATCAGGCGACGTTTTGATGGACGGTTTACCTTTGCCTTTATTCGAGTTCGAGGTCTTCTGATGTTTTGTGTCAGCAGGCTTCGTATTGGCTTTTTTTTTAGGATCTGGATGGGAATATGTGAATGAGAAATCATTCCGGTTACATTAATTCAGTCAAGTTATGGCCTGTGAACTTTACGGATGGACCAATTTTGGAAGTGTGGGAATACACTGTCGAACTGATCGGGGCAGAATATTTCCTTTTCTTTCGTTATTTCGTGGTGAATAGAAACGACAATCAACGTTCCAGAATCGTTCGCCATGTTTGACACTGGTCGTTGAAGGATTTTGTCTGAATCATAAACGTATGTTCATGAATTACTAGTATCAAATTAAAATAAGACCTGTTCGCGAAAAGGTGAACGTATGGCAAGCCGTTTTCACATTTATTAAGAAATTGAAGATATCTGTAAACAATTGAAGACATATTTAATATGTTTTTATTATCCAAATTAGCATTACTGATACCTTAAACTGTTATTGAGATGTCAAGAACATATTTCGTGATATCTCTAAATATGTTTCAGCTATGAATAAAAAAGTTATAATCATAGTGTACATACATGAAAGTGTATTGGAAATCAACTAAAGATATCTTAAATTCAATTCAAGACATCTTCAAACAATTTACTCATATCCACAAATGCATTGCAGATATCTTACATTTAGAGTGCGTGAGTGAGTTGGGTTTAACGTAGCTTTTAGCAATATTCCTGCAATACCATGGCAAGGGACACCAGAAATGAGCTTCACACATTGTGTACATGTGGGGAATCGAACCTGGGTCTTTGGCGTGACGAGCGAACACTTTAAACATTTGGCTACTCCACGACCCCAACTCATTTAAATATACCAGTTGTAGATATCTTTAACTCACTTATTGATATCTACAATACAAGCAACAGGAAAGAACGTAAAATATCTCCATTCATGATTATCTTTAATTCATTTCCAGATATTTCCAAATCTATTTCAAGATATCTTCAATTAAGATATCGTTAATGTGCTTCATAATATCCTTAATTCATTTCACGATATCATGAATTTTATTGCAGATATCTATAATAATCTCTATTCGAGATATGTGTAATTCAATTCAAGATATCTTCAATTCATATTCAAGACATCTCTATTTGCATTCAAGATATCTTAAAAACAATTTAATACTTCAGTATTTCTTAAAGTTTACATGCAATTCAAAACACAACTTTGCAGATTCTGATTCCTTTCAGCATGGACTTACAGTAACACATGATCAAAAATACAAATTCAACTTATGAAGTTGGAAAATAACGAGATGAAACCGACCCCGCGAAATCGGAGTTCAAACGATTCACTTAATTAACCCCAGCTGGGGTGAAAAGTGGTTTAAAAAGCTGTGCTGCGCTCATAACGCATGCACACTGAATAGGTTCGCGCAGCTGTAAGCGAGATGCCCGGATTATAAGGTCGTGAGCAGGAGTAGTTTAATCTTGGTTGTGTACACAAACAACAAATAGCATATAATCTACTCGTTACATATAAGAACCTTGTTAAGGATCTAGATCTACTCAGCTGTGTGTCGACCAGTGAGGCGTTCGATATTTCAAGACGGAAAACCTTCGCTGACGGTGAGTACATTGATGTGAGCGATTTTTCTAATGTTTTGTTGATATTTCACAGGTGCGAGCTTTTTATATGTTATGACATTAGATTACCGATTTAACTGTTTATATAATTTCATTTGACACTTTCTTCTTACCGAGTCGCTTTCTCAGTTCGATACTTATAACAGCAACGTCATTATTTAGCCCCATTTCTGGTGTCCCCCGCCGTGACGTTGCTGGAATATTGCTAAAAGCGGCGTAAAACCAAACTCAGTCAGTCAGTCAGTCATTATTTAGCACTGTCAGAATTTCTAACTGTGATATAGATATGCCTCTGTCACAGACAAAACTCTGTTTTATTGACACCTATGAGTCTGTCTGCTAATGACAATATGCAATACACAACTTCAATCATTGACCACAAGCAACTGGAAATTAACACCTATCAGGATATACATCATAAACAAAACATTGATGTATAGCTCCTGCACCTGAGTTCTGTCTCTGTCACATTATGTAATTACACAGACAGGCAGGTGTGATGCTTGAACACATGACATGTTATGCTGTCTGTTGATTGCAAAATGTTATACACAAAAAATGAGCATGTATTTACAACACACACACACACACACACACACACACACACACACACACACACACACACACACACACACACACACACACACACACACACACACACACACACACACACACACACACACACACACACACACACACACACACACACAGAGCGCTGAGTGTATCGGCAAATGAACCAGCCAATGAAAGGCTTCGTTACACTTAAGTGCACGCCCACCCGCTCTGACTGGGTTCGGTATCCCGGGTGCTTCGTTTCCAGGGTAGTAAGCCCAAGTACAAAATATTACACTTTTGATTGGCGAATGTACGCTTATAATATGGTTTATTTGTTTTTTCATAATCAGCAATGTATATTATATGCCATGAATAAATGATAATTGTGTTTTAATTATGACGTATATATTTCTGGGTTGCATCTAAGCTTTAATAAATGTGAAAACGGCTTGCCATATGACCGTGCACAGCATATCGGCATCGTCCCTCGGGGGTTACGGCAACGACAAGTCAAAGGTTAAACAGTAGCACAGTATGGCACGTCAGATAGGGAATTGCATCGGACATCATTTTGGTAACTGATGCGTTAAATGTGGATATGTCCTCTATATACTACAAGTCTACCACAAAACTTTCTGATGGTTATCCTAAGACCTTGAATGTTATAAAACTTATTAAAAGTTTCATATACAGGTTTGACCCTGTGTATATACCTTTGGATGCGCATTTCCTCCTCGGGCGCGAGTATGGAGTCGGTTTTGCCGGGAACTTTTTCGTGGACTTTTCTAGGGACTTCAACGAAGACCTTGTAAGGGCCTTGAGTCTGCTAGATGTGCGCCGTCCTGACATGCCTGTTCTCTGCCTCTATAATGTAGGATGCAAACCAGTTGGTTGGGTTATACACATGGAGCGTTTTCTTAGGATAAACATACGTATTGACTGTACTTTATATACCTGGGATATCAGGTCTATTTGTCAGTGCGTGAATTCGAGTCTGCGCCAAGCAAACCAGTTTTTTTATATTATCGACTGACCTATGTACGTAGACGTATGTCCGTTCGGTCTTAGACAGACAACGTAGTATCTTGGCTAAACTTCGCTGCAGTTCTCTCCCCTTAGAGGGTGAGGTTTGGCCGGTACTGCCGCACCAGGACACCGCTCCACTGACCGCTGGTGCGTCGAGGACGAAATACATTTCTTAACAGAATGTGAATATTACTCCGATCTTCAATATGATATTTTTCAGATGTTTTCTGCGGCATTTATTCCCTGTGGAAACTTAACCTCGGAAAAACAATTTATAAACATTATGCATAAAGATAGTTTAGCCAATTCCCGCAGTTGCTAATGTGATGCACAAGAGGAGAAAGTTTCAACTTGGCATTGTAAACAGTGCGTTTCTCATCTGTATTCTCGGCCAAGATGTTAATACATTGACGATTTCTCAGTCCTCAGACACCGCCGAGTGGAATATATTTTTTATTGTCTTGGCTTTGTGATTATTTGTTTGTATGTATACCGTGTGACACGTTAATTAAATATCTTCTTGTTTTGCCTCTGATCGGCAACGACCCACACCGTTGGACACAATGATAAACAATCACTTCAGTCATTTGACAAATTCTGTGCATGATTTGTTGTGTTGTTTACGACAAAGAACGATTACTGGTAGCTTACCTTGACCTGGTATCCCCAAGCATACCAATGATTTCATCTTCCAAACGACATTTTAGCATTTAATATTCTGTTCACATATTAGAAATGCTTCTGTATTCAGAGTGGCTGGTACCCGTGAAGGTTCGGGTTAGAATATTGACCTTCAGTAACCCATGCTTGTCGTAAGAGGCGACTAACGGGATCGGGTGGTCAGGCGCGCTGACTTGGTAGACACATGTCATCGGTTCCCAATTGCGCAGATTGACGGTCATGCTGTTGGTCACTGGATTGTCCGGTCCAGACTCGATTATTTACAGACCGCCGCCATATAGCTGGAATATTGCTGAGTGCGACGTAAAACAAAACTCACTCACTGAGTGGCTGGGTATAGGGCGGAAATGACCGGTTTTACAGAACAATGTTCTTTCTACATGTGCCTGTATACCGTTTCTCTTCCAGTGGAACGAAGGTTTGTGAACGAGGCGACCAGAGATGGATCGGACAGTCATGCTCGTGTGCATAATATCAATTACTGGTTTCCCTGTTCCACATTATACAGATGTCCGTGATTTCCGAATTTTTGCAGAGTTAGTTAACAAACACTCATATAATCCGTCCATATATATCTCCGTCCATCTGTTGAGGGCTCTTTACAAATTCCCAGACCGAATTATACTACAGTCTAGTGAACTTAAAGTAACTATTTCACGTTTCATCAGTTCCAGATGGGACTGGATCTCAGAGATACTGTGAATCGCTCGCTTAGCATATGGACAAATTTAGCACATTCTGGGGAAGTGGGGTAGCCTAGTGGTTAAAGCGTTCGCTCCATATGCCAAATACTCGGGTTCGATTTCCTAAATGGGGGCGGTGAGGTAGCCTAGTGGTTAAAGCGTTGGCTCGTCACGCCGATGACCCGGGTTCGATTCCCCACATGGGTACAATGTGTGAAGCCCATTTCTGGTGTCCCCCGCCGTGATGTTGCTGGAATATTGCTAAAAGCGGCGTAAAACCAAACTCATTCAGTCAGTCAGTCCTAAATGGGTACAGAGTGTGGAGAGATTTTCTGGCGCCGTCTGCCGTGACATTGCCAGAATAGTTCTAAAAGCGGCATAAAACAGTACTCGCATCCTCTCTAACTAGCAAAGTCGAATGTCGTCAAAGCTGATCAATATTGAGAAGGGAGGTAATCCTTTAACTTTATTTTTAACTGTTTTTATGTACAGAACAAGTCTTAACAGTTTGAATTTAGTTTTCATGAGGAACATCCTCTTCCATCCTGACCATAATGCTTCTTGGTGCACAAAGTTATAAAATAAAATGACATAACGGGCGAGAAAGTGGTTGGGTTCCGTTCGCGGTCAACTTCGGCTGAATTTAGCGATGTGTTCGTTCAAGCAGTTTTCACTCTGCATCCCATTCGGTTGTCAGAGCAACCCTGAAGCACGAATTCTCTCTAACGTATGTAGTATACAAATGCCAGTAACTAAGGTCCTTACCCTTGAAGCCACAACGTTCGTCCACACTGTGGGAGTTACACACTTCCTTGTTACAGATCAGGTGCTTGTGTAAGGGAGATAACTGCAACCGGCCCAGGGCTTTTTTCAATACTATGGACGTTTAAGGTAAATGTTAAATCGTGCGAAGGAGATCGAACCACCGTTGATTCTATTACAAATGCAGTTTTGCACACAACACTTGCATTGGAATAGTATTGTTAAGGAGATTTGTCAGAAATATGCTTTTTTTGTCTCTTTTATTGTGTTTGTGTGTAAACAGTAATCGAAATATAGCTTTGGCCAAGTTACCGATTTGTCATTCAGTGTATGCAAACGAATGTCGTTTTCACTGGGCACCGATCATATCCCGACTTAATTTTTTTTCGAAATCGGGGAGAATCCTGAACTAATCTGTAATTGAACGGCAGAAGTCGTTAATTGATCTTTAGATACCGGCAATGGTCTGGAATAGATCTCTATGATCGGGGAGAGCAGGAGCAGTCTTTGAACCGGTTCAAAAACTTGTCACGATCTAAGAAACTCGGCGGTTGATCGAGAATTAATCGGAGACAGCGTGAGTTCATTGGAAGTCAGTAGTATGTTGATCGTATGCAGTGGGAGCGCATCGGGAATGTATCGTGCAAACAGCGGGCATATTCTGAGGGGAAAATCACTAAAGTGTGGTGGCACTGAGTCAGGTCATTACCCACTTGTGATACTGAGTGAGTTCATTAAACATTGGTGACACTGAGTGAGTTCCAGTGGTATCTTTGGTGGCTTTTAGAAGTTTGTGTAAATAACAACAAGCACGTGGTTTTGCAATTCCTACTTATTTATAAGTGCGACGTTTCGGTGCAGGTTCTAGCACAAGGTTCTAGCTTGATAAAGGTGGGAAAACATGCACCGAAACATCGCACTTATTAACAAGTATAAGTTGAAATCCATAAACCTGCTTGTTGCGAGTTCCAACAGTATGGGAGATGGATGCTCATGTGTAATATTTAATAGTGGACATCAGTTCAACATTCCTTTGAAGTGAAAATATAACCAAAAAATGAATGAAAATGACACACACACACACATCTTCTAAATCTTGCTCGAATAATTTTCTCCTGCCATGGGACTGCTCCGGCCTCACTATTTAAATATGTTCTGAGATATTCTCTTTGTCTTTTGGCTTCTGTAGTGTCTCTGTACTGGTCCTTCAGTAGAAGTAACTTTATGCATGTTGGCATGCTGCCTCCATTCCCCTGGGATGATATTGTGATCAACATCCTCCTGATCTAGGTCGGCATCATGCACCCCTGGATATCTTATCCTCATGATGTCATGTAAACACACTGCTGCCTCAGCCATGCCACTCACTACGTCTGGGCCCGGTTAGGAGCGCCTGCTACCTGTTTGCTAGAATTCCGAAGGCATTTTCAGCTACCCTTCTTGCCCTTGACAACCTGTAGTTGGTGATCAGCTCCTGTTCAGAGAGTCCCCTCCTCGAGTAAGGTTTCATTACATACGTTCGAAGAGCAAATGCGTCGTCAGCCAGGATGAAGCAGGGTGTGTCTTGGTCATCGTTAGGAAGTACATCAGCAGGGTGGAAACCAATTGAGTTGTCCTCAAAGCGTTCCTTGATTTCAGAATTGTTGAAGATCTAGGCATCAGACATATGCCCCAGGCCTCCTACGTCAATCCCCACGAATCTGTAATGTGCGTCGAACAGTGCAAGGAGGTCAATCGAGAAGAGTGAGTAAGTGAGTGAGTATAGTTTTACGCCGCTTTTAGCAATATTCCAACAATATCACGGTGGGGGACACCAGAAATGGGCTTCACACATTGTACCCATGTGGGGAATCGGCGTGACGAGCCAACGCTTTGAGCACTAGGCTACCCCACCGCCCCACAATCGAGAAGAATTCCTTGTAGTTATGCTATAGGGATTCTGATCTGGGAGGTTTACGTATGGCAACATGCTTTCCATCAAGGGCCCCAATGGCATGAGGCAATGTTCCAATTGAGTTCAAAGTCTAAGCTCACTCTTCGCCATTCCTCAGATGTAACAGGGCAGTTGATCACCTCATCGACTATAGTACATCAGGCAGGAACTGTGCAATTGTGTGCCTGGAGACTCTGAAATCATAGGAGAGGGCGGGGTACTTATTCCCAGATGCCAGGTGCCTGAGGGTCACTGCCAGCTTCAGTCCTCGTTCAAGGGCTTTTCTGAAGTTCGTATCCGATTTCTCCAGCATTGGACCAGGTGTGTTGAGCAGTTCATCAAATATGAGAGGATGCATCCTCGGGTAATTGAAAAATGATGAAGTATCTTCAAATCTCAACTCACGCATCGGTCTATCTCTCTTGAGCCAACCAAGGGCGCACCCAAAATTCTCTTCCTCTTCTTCTTCTTCTTCTTCTTCTTCTCAAGTTCAACATTCGTAGCATCATTTGTCTCTGGTTCAGTTGAAACTGGTGCTGGAGGATGAGCAATAGTTGGAAAGCTTGGGGGGTCCATGTTTTCAACTGCATTGTAAATGAATAAATGAAGAGCGGCTGCGATCGGGGACTTTTATACCCAAATTTCAGGAAAATTAGCCGAGTTTATCGTGACATCATCGAATATTAATCGGGAGTTGATCGGATAAAGCGGGAATAGAATGGCAACGGAACGCCATGGGCGTATGTCCAACGTCATCGCATCGGCAGTGGTCGGATGTTTATCTTCACTACAGCGGTCTAGAATGTGATGAGAACGTGATTAGAGCGTCACCTGAGCGTGTTGAATCGGGGAAAGTCGGGATATGTTCGCAGTCAGATCGGCCGTTCAGATCGTGCCTAGAGTAGCTGTGCATCGTATCATGGTCGCATAAAGCGTACGTTGATTGTACGTTCAGCGTAGATCAAGCGTAATTGCATACATCTTGGTATATATTTCCACGATTGAGTCCGCTCGAGCGTGGAAACTGAGATCGGCATAGATCTGGATGGTCGCTGATGGGTCGCCGCCCAGTGAAATGGGGGTATAATAAAGTGTTATTTCTGACTTTAAAATAGTTTTATTTGTTATTGTGTATATATTATACACGGCGGCGATTGATGAAGTCATTTGCGTGTGATATAGCTTAATGCCGGATCTTAAAGAACAAACATCATTTCGTTTTCGTTTATTGTGTGCATATTAGGTAAATATGCTAATAATATGTACTGTTTTTGCATTTACAGCTGCTATGACGCAAACATATATTAAATCCAGCTCTTATGAATGAATAATTACCGCACATATGATAACTTCACAGACCTCTTATGTATTCATCCATGCACAAAAACATATCGATATTTCAATCAGTCAAAGCTTTCTTTCCGTACAAAGGCCATCGGGCCCATATACATACAGTTTCATACATACAGTACAATTTACATATATGTATACACGCCCATCCGCATACATATATACAAATAATCGGAACATACAGGTTAATATGGATAAAGTAGATAAAGGTATGATATGATAATACAAAAGTATAATATGGTTTTTTTATATTATCATTCTTGTAATAGCTTACATCTCCGTTCATAAGAATGCATTATATATACATTTTCAAACTGTGTACGCTATTTGTCATAAGTAGTTTCTTAAAGTTATACATATTCGTTTTGAAGTTACTTGGTACATAATTACGACGTAGGTCATCATATCTTGGGCAAATGAAAGTAAAATGGTATCCGTCTTCTACACCTCCGTAACAGACAGGACATGTTCTCAGATTTGTGTTAATTTTATACCATCGTCCTTCAGTAAATTCTTGCCTTAGTAATCCAGCTCTAAATTTAACTAAATATTTACGTAATTGATAATCTGCAATTTCAAAAAGGTATTTTTCAGGGTTTAATAGGCTTTTAAATTCGCTGTACAAAACATAACGTGTGCTATTGTCAAGATCGGGTCTCCAGTTTTGTTTAAAAACATCCAATAAATGCGTTTTAAAAATTCCGATAAAACTTACACGATTTCCAACAGTTGTGACAAGCAAACAAATCCAAATCCATAAGAAAAGAGCAAATATCGAATTCTTGAGTGAGTGAGTTTAGTTTTACGCCGCACTCAGCAATATTCCAGCTATATGGCGGCGGTCTGTAAATAATCAAGTCTGGACCAGACAATCCAGTGATCAACAGCATGAGCATCGATCTGCGCAATTGGGAACCGATGACATGTGTCAACCAAGTCAGCGAGCCTGACCACCCGATCCCGTTAGTCGCCTCTTACGACAAGCATAGTCGCCTTTTGTGGCAAGCACGGGTTGCTGAAGACCTATTCTACCCCGGATCTTCACGGGTAACGAATTCTTGAAGCCCAAGTCTCATAGCCAAAGTTATCAAGATTAAGTAACATGTCACCGGTTTGCGATCTTTATGCATTGTTATTATTTTAATCCAGTAGTTAAGACAACTAACAGCTGCATTTACAAATATAGTGAAACGGCCACATTCACCATACACAATAACGTTAGGTGTCTAGGATCCAACGTTTATGTATAATTTACAAGCCAAAAGATGCATTTTCTCAATACATTCTTATTTCATATATCCCCACATTTCTGAAGTATATCATAGGATAGATTGTATTTGACTATCACATATTTTGAAAAAGATATCCAGTGATAACGAACCGATTTTTCTAAGGTTGCCATTTAATTCCATTAATGTTTTTTTGCCACGTAAGGAGAGATCGGATAATGATTTGCCCAGGCTAACATTACACGTGAATAGAAAACAGAGATACTTATAGCTATTGACTATCTTTAAGTTATTACCTGTAAAGTACCATGCATCAGTACTTTTAAGTCTACCTCCCCTCCTGAATACAACAATATTAGATTTATCAAGGTTAACATTTAAACCCCACTTATCTGAATACAATGCTAAAATATGTAATTGGCCACATTTAGAATCTGAAGCTAAAATAACATCATCAAAATTTCTATCATATCTGGAAATAACAGTTACTGGATTCAATGTTTTCTATTTTGTGCAATTTCTATAGAAAGCTCATTTGTGAATAGA